CTGTGATAACCGGGGATTCTTTAAGACCTTGATCTCATGTGTAAAAAGAAAAAAAAATTGAGTGCACGTGAAGAAACATTTGCTATATATATTTGAAGGAACATTTGCTATATTTCTTGTTGAAATTATTTTAACTCCATTTGAGCAGTATGATCATCCTAATTAAATAACTCAGTCACATGTGTCACTATATTATTGAGAAGCTATATAGCAAATTATTGTGACTTTGCAATCCTCTTGAGTAAGAAAATCAATCATATTAAGCAATACTAGCAAACGTCTACTAGTTTCACTCAAAAGTGATCAACTACAAGGATGCAGTTTGACCTGAATGTAACCATTTTTTGTTTTTTTGACAGGCAGAGTGGACAGTGAGAAAGAGAGACAGAGAGGAAGGTCTTCCTTTTCCGTTGGTTCACCCCTCAATGGCTGCTGCGGCTGGCGCACCTCACTGATCCGAAGCCAGGAGTCAGGTGCTTCTCCTGTTCTCCCATGGGGTGCAGGGCCCAAGCACTTGGGCCATCCTCCACTGCACTCCTGGGCCACAGCAGAGAACTGGACTGGAAGAGGAGCAACCGGGACAGAATCTGGGGCCCCAACCGGGACTAGAACCCGGTGTGCCGGCACCGTGGGCAGAGGATTAGCCTATTGAGCCATGGCACCAGTGAATGTAACCATTTTTAATGGGTTTGGAGAAGGAGTGGGAGATGGGATGGTTGTGGGTGAGATGGAGGTTATCGGGGGGGGGGGGAGCTGCTATAATCCAAAAGTTATACTTTGGAAATTTGTATTTTTTTTATTTTTTATTTTTTTTAATTTTTGACAGGCAGAGTGGACAGTGAGAGAGAGAGACAGAGAGAGAAAGGTCTTCCTTTTGCCGTTGGTTCACCCTCCAATGGCCGCCGCTGCAGCCGGCGCACCGTGCTGATCCGATGGCAGGAGCCAGGATCCAGGTGCTTTTCCTGGTCTCCCATGGGGTGCAGGGCCCAAGCACCTGGGCCATCCTCCACTGCACTCCCTGGCCATAGCAGAGAGCTGGCCTGGAAGAGGGGCAACCGGGACAGAATCCGGCGCCCCAACCAGGACTAGAACCCGGTGTGCCGGCGCCGCAAGGTGGAGGATTAGCCTATTGAGCCACGGCGCCGGCTCAGAAATTTGTATTTATTAAATGAAAGTTAAAAAATATTTCTTGAGAAGTCTTAATGTACTTAGATTAGCATGGGCCACTTTTAGCTCCAGAACCCTTTCTCTCTGCCTCCTACCAAAGGAATCTGCTATCTGAGACCATGTTCTATCCATAAATACACCCCAACACCCAATAAATAACATTCTACATAATATTGAATTTGTCCTATTTATTTGGACTCTTGGCCCCTTCTACTTCTAGCAGACACTTTCCATACACCGGATATTCCCCAAATGCCAGGCAACTGTCAAATTTCATTACGGTATAAAATAAAGCTTGCTCTTAATCATTATGATGATGTGTCTCTCTTTTATTGTATGTATCTGAGATGGCATAAAGAAAATGTCTACATTATTTCCTTATAAAACATCAACTTAATTTATTTTCTTGTACTTCTTATAACTGTGACAAACGAAAATGAACAATCCAGACTTGTAGTCCACCCATAACTAATTTTTACAAGATGTTTTGACCGTGTGTTCATATTCCAAGCTAAACTAGCTTTTTCTATTACTTTGTATTACTTGATATGTAATGCCATCTTCTCGGGTTTGTCTATATACACAATTTTACCAACATTTTACTGACTTCATTTCACAGTGGCAGGCCACTCAAATCTCACAAAATATCAAAAATATACAATTAAAGAAACCTTAATGACAATTTATTGTAAACTAGCAAGAACATGATGGTTGGATGGTTTAAATCATTTATAAGTATTATATAGTTACTGAATGACACAATTAGTACTGAATCCTATAAATTGTTTGTGTATATGAATATATATATTTTATTAAATTTTGCTGCTACTATTCTATTTGTTCTAAAACTACTTTGTCTAAATCTAGAAGCAAACTCTAGCTTTTACCTTCAAAGATTATGTTACCATTTTATTTAAGCAAGTTTATATTATCCACAACTATTATGGTTCTAATGATTTTCTATGAAACCTACCTTCTATAGAATGAAGAAAAAACTGTAAAGATCTCTTTCCATTAGAAGCCACCTACCCCTTTACCACTATGCTGCATGGTGAATATGGCCAACTTTTGCTTCACAGAGGATTTCACAGTGCAGTGAATCCTGGAAGAATAGGTTCGGGTTTTCTCAGAGCAACCAGAGGCAACAGGGTCAAAAGACAATATGTAGCCAGCGCTGCGGCTCAATAGGCTAATCCTCTACCAAGCGGCGCAGGCACACCGGGTTCTAGTCCCGGTAGGGGCACCGGATTCTGTCCTGGTTGCCACTCTTCCAGTCCAGCTCTCTGCTGTGGCCTGGGAAGGCAGTGGAGGATGGCCCAAGTGCTTGGGCCCTGCACCCCATGGGAGACCAGGAGAAGCACCTGGCTCCTACCTTCGAATCAGCGCAGTTTGCAGGCCACAGCGCGCCAGCCGCAGCGGCCATTGGAGGGTGAACCAATGGCAAAGGAAGACCTTTCTCTCTGTCTCTCTGTCTCTCACACTGTCCACTCTGCCTCTAAAAAAAAAAAAAAAAAAAAACAATCTGTGTGCCGTTCAAGAAATTAAATCTTTGTCAGAAGGCATGCCTTTGACCTAGTTTAAAGGTTTGATGAGACTCTGTATATTCAAATGAAAAATGATGTCAAAAGCAGAGATCAGGTTATGGGAAAGTGTACGGCTGCTTAATAACTTAATAAATGCTAAGGATTGGTGGGAAATCATCTTTTATAGTGGCATATCGAAGGCAAGGGCTTATAACAAAACATAGATAGCACTTTATTTTTCTTTCAAAGAGCAATTTGGCCTTTTTGGTTGATTTTTCTCTTTAATACACATATTAGTTTTAATTGAAAATATACAAGTAGTTGACAAATAATTTTGGTTTGATTATTCTTATTTGACAAAGTAATCTGATTATAACAATTAATTTTCCATTTTGGCTAATTATATGGTTGTCTAGGAAGAATACACTAAAAACCAAATACATTAAAAAAGAAGTCCATCTTCCAAGATACATAGAAATCTATTTTATCAAAAATAATTTAATGAAACTGTGCACAATTTTAGTAATTGTTTATATAACTTTTTATGGAACTAATTATAGATTAAACAAGATTATAAAAAGACTTAAAGTACGTTGTATATTATAAAATGTCAGTGTATATATTGTGGACATTTTATGAATTAATGCACATGCTTTTAAGACAAGTACTTTTTTGTTTTCCGCTGCAATTAAATGCTTGTAGTAGAGCCTTAACTGCCTTAAGGAAAAAAGATCTCTTTTCTTCTGTAGCTGTTCTTCTGCATCTGTGAATCTCCGAGGATGAAACCATCTCTGCAAGGTTGTGTGACCTCTTCGTACCTTTGTATGCTACCTTAGAAAAGAAATCATAAGGCAATTGCAAGTCCTTAGACATAAATGCTTGCTCACTGAACTTGAAATATCCCAATATTAGTTATTGACTGTACTGTGAAAAGTAACAATAAATGAAGGATGTCGGAGGATGCCATGTGCGTAACCTGATGAAAAATAATACAGAAAAAGAATCAGAAAGTGAACTGGATAGGGCAGAGTGAGCATGACCTCTGAACCTGAAGAAAGAGAGATCAAAAGCACACGAAATAATAGGCTTCTGATAAAGGAGATTGCATTTAAAAAAAAAAAATATATATATATATAGCCCCACATACAGAATGCAGAAATGGATCAGGATTTGGGCAATTTCCCAGAATAAATATACTTCAGTTTGGAAACTACAGACAAAACCTTTGCACTAGCAAGAATTTTTGGTTTTTCATTTTTGGCCTATTCTAACATATTTGCTTTATGTTTTTGGGGAATCAAAAAATACTCAAACTGTCACAATCACTTCTTGTATTCATGCCTACAGTCAAGGAAAACAAATATATGACTGTGAATAGGTTATTCTCAACATTGAAAATACTTTGGCATTGACTGTAAATTAGGGATAATCAGGATAATCATGGTGAGCCGATGAATCGTTGATCATAGAATAGTATAAATGAGATGGATAAGGGGTAATAGGTAAGCAGAAAGCAGTGAAAGTCAGAAATACCACGCCGCTAAAGAAAGCAGAGGAGGAGGTGAATTAAATAAACAAAGAGATTCTGTAAATACTAAAGAGGGAAAAGGACAGAGGTAATGAACCAGACTGATCCTGAACAAAAGTAGGGAGTTACCTATTTTTTGTTACTGTTTAGTGCCGACTGCTAATGAGATACCATGTTGCTGTTAATAACATAGAATTATGTCCTCATAGATTGTGTCTTCTTTCTCCTTTTTGCTTTTCTTCTTCCTTATGCCTTGAACATTCTAGTCTAGATTACAGGCAGGGGTTTCAGCTTGGCTGATCTTAAAACAGAAGCATCTAGAAGCACTCTATTTCTCAGAGTATATTATCATTAATTATCATGAACTAGTCATCAATAGGTACCGATACATTTTAGAAACTGTTGGTATACTAAAATTGCATTTTGTTTTGCACTACAACACACTGGGGTATTTACTCAGTATTTCAAATTGAATTTTAAGGAAAATTCTTTTCTATTGAATACATACCCAGGCAATTAAACATAGCTGCTTGATTAACAGTGCATCAATAATAGCATTTTATAATGTACCATATAACTCATTGTATTTTGATGTTTATATACCAGTTTACAATAAACATTGTCATATATCATATTCCCCACCACAGTCTGCTGAAAAAATTGATAAACTATGATATTTAAACATATTTAGTGAAAGATGTTAATAATTATTGGTTATATGGAAAGTTGCTATAGAATAGCTATCACTTTCAACTTCTAAATTGAGCACATAAAAATCTTACCTTGCCTACATATTGTGTGTCTGTACCAGTGTACTCTTCCAACAAGAAGAACTGATTCCACATCCACCCACGCTTGGTGCGACGCAACATTTTATCAGCATCTTTTGTCAGACCTACTATCCTTTGGCTTGGTAAATGACTGTTAGCCTTGTCTTGGAATGGGATGGTTTCAACTGTATGGAACAGATACATCCAGATGAATAATGGTAGGCAATGATAAGTCCTCATTATCTGTGGCTTCTGCAGGATGTCAAATTCAATGTATTGTCTCTTTCTCCTAAGGAGCAGGGGAAGAAAAATGGTTTTACTAGGTTGAATTTCATTTTCACAAAGCATGTAAGCTGAAAAAATACCTTATTGTAAATGTTATTTAAATTTTATAAATAATATGTATACACTATTTTCCTATGTTATATCAGTGAGTTATCATTAAAAAGTCATCAGGACATACACATAGATAAATATCAAAAGTAAACTAAAGGTGAACTTAACATTTGACTATAAGGTTACTGCAGGGTACTTCAAAATTTCATAGAAAATGTAATTCATATTTTAGTTTATGTAAAAATTAAAATCCATGCTTATGGAGAGGGTCTTCAAAAAGTTCATAGAAATGTATTTTATAAAATAGCTATGCATAGATTTCAAAAATGCTCCAAAACAAGTGTATCTTTTAATCCAACTTTTGTTTTAAAAGTACTCTCATCATTATTTTCATGTAAATATGTTTGTTAACTCAAAATACAAAATATTTTAAAAATAAATGACCTCTATGGTATACCAATTATCACGCTGAATGTTCCAAGGTGCTTAAAACTAATGAAAGTGCGGCTAGGATTGTGACGCAGCAGGTAAAGCCACTACCTGCGACTCTGGAATCCTATGTGGGTGCTGGTTCATGTCCCCGCTGTTCCACGTTGCTTCAGCTGCATGCTAATGGCCTGGAAAAATCAATGGTAGATGGCCCAAGTGTGAGACCTGAATGAAGTTCCAGGATTCAGCCTGGCCCAGCCATAGCCATTGCAGCCATCTGTGGAGTGAACCATCAGATAGAGATGTCTGTCTCTCCCTCTCTCTTTATAATTCTGACTTTAGAATAAATAAATTAATATTTAATTAAAAACAATAAAAGTAAAATTTTAATAAAATATTAGTAAACTTTAAAGAACACTGGTTTCTTCCCATAAGCTACCAATTTTGTACAAACTGTTGGTTCCTTTGTCTCCTCCTTCTTTTACTTCATTTCTCCTCCTGCTGTTTTTTTCTCCCTCCCCCTCTTCTTCCTCTCTCTCCTTCTGTTCCTTCTCCTTATCCAACAGGTTGAAATTTGGCCTCAAGGCAAGTGAAATAATACCATATATACTAAGGGTTGTGCCTCATAATACCTAGCACCATGTTGATCCTTTATAACTGATAACTATATTTTTCAAATTATTTATTGATTAGGTCGCTCAAATTTATTTAAGATTGAGGGTATCTGCTGTAAAGGCAAATATTGTTCAGACTAATTTTTAAAAAGCACATCTTTGTATATTAAAATAATAAGAAAAATAAAGAATGTACAAAATGGGTATTGTAAAATTAGGTATGATGATTTAACTATGGTGCAATTTCATTCAGAATTTTGAAATGATGTCTCCCTTTTGAGGTAAAAAGTTGGTTATTCTAGAATTAAAATTATAAGAAGTCATTTGATATTTTAGAAAGCAGACTTATTTGTTATTACATTTGTTTTGAGTTTCATAATAGTTTAAGGGTGTGAGATGTTGATGATCTTTTTAAGCAATAAAAGCCCATCTTAAATCAGTATTGTGAACAAAGAGCATTGGATTATAAAATAAAACTAAGATTAGAAAGGAAAGATAAAAGAAACAAAAAAGTAACTGGTCACTTCCTGATCATGAAAGTTGAAAGTATGGCCTTGAAAAGTATATTTTCTCCCTTCCCCACTCCCAACAGTTTATCTTCTTTTACCTTTACTAAACCTCTTCAGCATAACGGACAATATGAGTTTAATATCTCCTGAGTTCAGATTTAACATTTTCCATTTTGGAGAAGTAACTGATAGTCTTTTCTAACATGAGTATAAAAATTTTGAGGAATTTTTTTGTTTCTAAGATATCTAGCCTAACACATATACTTGATGCTGCACCAATCTGTAGATTTGCTAATGGAGCTACCAAAGCATAAAGGACAAAATAAGGCTCTAGCTTGGCTTTATCCCTTACAATCATGAGCCTGTGGGATATTTACCCACCTCCTTGGTATCAGTCCATCAATAATAGGAGAATATTTACTATTTGACTCACAAAGTATTGTTTTAGTATTATCTGTAATTTTTATCAGTATGAAATAATATTCACTTTTTCTATAAGTTTTTTTCTACACAACACCATATACCTATAAGACAACTGAGACCTAAAGCATTTCAATATCAAGACAAATCTGATACTGATGATAAGTATTGAAATTGGCATTCAGAACCATAAACTTAAACATTATTCCTTTCACATAAGATAATGCATGTAAAATAGTTAACATATTATGTGCTAGCACACAACTCAACATGTTAGCAATATCATCATCATCTGTCATAATAATAATTCTCTTCACCTTTTTTATTTTTTAAAGATTTATTTTATTTATTTGAAAGACAGAGTTACAGAGAAAGGTAAAGCCAGAGAGAAAGCCTTCCATCCACTGGTTCACTCCCCAAACAGCTGCAACAGTCAGAGCTGAACAGATCAAAAGGCAGAGGCCAAGAGCTTCCTCCAGTTCTCCCGCTCAAGTATAGGGTCCCAAGAACTTGGGCCATCCTCCACTGTTTTCCCAGGACATAACAGGAAGCTGGATAGTAAGTGGAGCATCCGGGACTCAAACTGGCGTACATATGGGATGCTGGCACTGAAGGCTAGGACTTTAACCCACTGCATCATGATACCTTCCCCTATCTTCACCTTCATCATCCTCTTCATCCCACTGGTTGGTCCTACAATAGCCTTAGAAATGTCCAACACAGCAGAAAGGAGACTGGTGATTGATAAGTGATTCTATAGCTTATTTCTTTGAGGTAGAACTACTGACTGCCCAGCACATCTTAGCACACCGAGTTCCATAATTATTATATTTTAAATTCTCTTAGTTATCATAATACATATATAGGGTTACAAATGCACTCCAAAATAAGAAAAAGTCATATCATTTGCTGACTCTGAAATCTCAGAACATGTTAGTTATTATATTAACAATTTCGTGGCTATTCATAATCCTAAAATGTATAAGCCAATTTATAAAGAATGAGATAATACATAGCAGAAGTCAACAATGTCAAGTAGTTTTCAGAAAATACATAATGCAAAAGTAACATGCAGTGGCCACTGGTCCAGATTGCAGATTAGCGATGGTGCAGTGGTAAATGAACAGCCAGAGAATCTAAAGTTACAATACTGATCTCACTTTGGTAAAATACAGCAAATCTCACAAGCAACCACCCTGATCACCCTATTTTCTTCGTGCTGGAAGAATTTCCTCCAGGCATTGATCTTGCTGATAATCTTGCAAGAGAAGCCAGAGAGCACTCTTCAAATCCTGGGATGTCTTCTAACTGTGATGTACACTGTGTGTGGAATATAGGCTTTGGGAAAACAAACATCCATCTATGCTGGAGGGAGCCAGAGACAGGAAGAATGATGCAAGACTTTATAAGCTAGAGTGAAAAAGTCACATTTAGTTTCAGTGCAATCATCATTGATAAATCTTAGCACAATGTGTTTAGAAATGGTGATTATGGTTGTTGACTGGAAAATAGGTTAGAGGTCAGGGAGGGACCATGGTTAAGGGAGAACTCAATTAGAGTCCGCTGCAGTAATCCAGAAAGAAATGATGATGTCATATAGAGAAGTGGCTAGGACACTGATAAGTTCATCAGAATCTTTTTGATTTTTTAATATTGCCATGTAAACTTTGCAATTTTTATATGCCTTTATTTCTAATGATTGGCACATCAAACTATCTGTGCAACTTTCCTTGGCTATGGAAGCCACTTTACCGAAATGTGCAGGGGCCTGAAGTCCTCACACTTCCACAAGCATCTGTAGAATCCTTTATCCAGTACCTAACAGCTGAAGAAGTGTGCAGTGTGAAAATCCACACGTTATTTACAACCTAGAGCTTCCTTATAGAGTCATGCTTTGATTCTTTCTAATTTCTTTTTTTAAAAACTTTTATTTAATGAATATAAATTTCCAAAGTACAGCTTATGGATTACAATGGCTTCCCCCCTATAACGTCCCTCCCACCAGC